TTTACTGCATTACTTAGTAGCCATTACTCAAATATATGTTTGCAGCTCTATTTTTTTAATGGCAATAAAGAACTTTAGACTATGTTAGACTGCAGTGCCATAGGCTTTGTTTGTTTACTCAGTTAAAATAAATACCATAGAGAGATACTCATTTACTTTAGTCTACTTTCTTGGCACAGGGTTTATGGTCAGACAGAAGTAGGTTCTGACTACATCTCTGCCACTTCCTAGGTGGATGACCCTGGCCAAGTAAGTCAGTTTTTATACATGCAAACTGAGAATATTTATTTTGACAAAAAGTTTGTGTGAGAAAGTCAAGATAAACAAAATATGTAAAAGTCAGTAGTATATCTTCCTTAACATCGCCTAACATTGTACAAATTAGTCCATGCTTCTCTAAATAGGCTAGGAATGACAACTTCAAGTCTCTCCATGAGATGTTTAAGGAAATCTATTATATAAGTTAAGTGAGAAAAACATGATGAAAATGGAATGTGCTGGCTTTTATGGACTTTACCATTGTGAAAGTTTAACTGTGGGCCAGTTATTCCTTAAGGCTCCAACCATGCTTCTGAACATAAAAGAATCATTGTATTTAAAGAAGATAGCCAGTGAAATTTTAAAAACCAAACCAAAAAAAAAAAAAAAAGACGAAAAAAAACAACAAAAAACGTGCTATTTCTAAATATCCAATGATTCATTAAAATACTTTTGTTTCCTTAGGAAAAAAGTTTCCACATATGCACAGTAATCACTTGGCATTTTGCAGGCTTAAGCCTTGGGGAGTTAGTGGTATTTGGCTCCTGACATGGAAGTCTTTCTCTTGTCAGACAAATCCTTTCCCTTGCACATTCCTGCTGAAGTTTGTTTCTGTTGTGCCTGATGGCAGGCTTTGAGGTGGTTGGGTATGGTTCACACCGCCTAGGCCAGCTCTCTCCACTTTCCTGTTCCAGTTCCCTCCATGTGTGCTTTAACTTTGCGCTGTTAACTTGTTCATTGTTTCACCTAACTCAACAGTCCTTTATCTGGGGAAAGACTGCCATTGCTGTGCACTGTCCATGAGGACTAAATGTGCATTAAATAAATTCCCTTGTAATTTTTTAAGTCCCTTTCGATGGCTTCTTTATTTTCTTCAAGGTCTTTTAAGAAAAGCATGACTATTTCTGTGAGACTTGGATATTTTTAAGAAGTGATTGTGCATTTTGAGAAAAATACAAACTAGTTTACATTTTGGCCTTGACTGAAGAAATCTAGATTATGATGATATGAGATTTAATTTCAATGTTTAGAATTTTATATACTGTTTCTAAGAAGGAATGTCACTTTAGGGAAGTTCCATTCCAAGCAATAAGTATCAGTTGTGTGCAGAATATGGCAAAAGTGCACATGAATCACATGCTCAGCTTAGGAAAAGGCAGATAATTGGCCGGTGCTGTGGCTCAATAGGCTAATCCTCTGCCTTGCGGCGCCGGCACTCGGGGTTCTAGTCCCGGTCAGGGAGCCTGATTCTGTCCCTGTTGCCCCTCTTCCAGGCCAGCTCTCTGCTGTGGCCCGGGAAGGCAGTGGAGGATGGCCCAAGTACTTGGGCCTGCACCTGCATGGGAGACCAGGAGAAGCACCTGGCTCCTGCCTTCGGATCAGCGCGGTGCGCTGGCTGCAGCGCTCCGGCCGCAGCGCGCCGGCCGCGGCGGCCATTGGAGGGTGAACCAATGGCAAAAGGAAGACCTTTCACTCTGTCTCTCTCTCTCACTGTCTTCTCTGGCCCAAGTCTCCGGGCCCTTGCCACCCATGTGGGAGACCTGGAAGAAGCTCCTAGCCACTGACTTCGTCCTGACCTAACCCTGGTTATTGTGGCCATTTGGGAAGTGAACCAGCTGACAGGAGATTTCTCTCTCTCTCTCTCTCTACTTCCCTCTCTGTAACTTGACTTTCAAATACATAAATAAATATTAAAAAATAAAGGAAAATAGTTGAGGCTCAAGAGTCTATGGAGAAGAAAATTAGGACTGTGGAAGTGTCAGCCCATGAATCAATTCCTATCTAAATTTTCTGTTTCCTTTTTCTTCATGCATATACTTGTGTTTAAAAAAAAGCATATGCAAATTCAGGCTTAGTATTGTGGGAAGTTATCAGGTCATTCAGATGCTTGGAATATTTATTTTAACCGGTGAAGTTGATGGTGAGGCTGTAAATGCATTTGTGCTATATGTGTAAAATTTATGTTGGTTCACTATAATCTGTGAAAATTAGATCAGCTTCATGTGAAAATGGTGCCATTAGGATAACAGATATTCTGATGTATTGCCAATAGGTAGATGTGTCAAAGACATCTTTTCTTGTAAAGTCACAGGTGTCTGCAAAATTCAAAATAAATATTTCAGTGTACATAATTATTTTAAATTAATAGAGAAATACTACATATAGATGAAATATAAGAAATGTAAAGAAAGCATAAATTGACAGAAAGTTTATTTTTAAAGAATAGACTAATGACATACATTTTGAGGCATTTGCTTTTCTTTTTTCCCATTGCATATTGAAAAGTGTGTAATTTTATAGCTTATTTGTGTTCAATCATTCCACAATTGGCAGGAAAGAGCTTACAAATTGCAAAGCACCTAGAAAAACCATAATTGTAAATAGTTTAAAAATCTATAGCTTAAATTGGACTACTTTCAATTAAAAAATTAAGGTATTCTGTGATTGTTACTATCATCTATAATGCTATTTCACATATTTATATGTATTTAGTTTTCAAATTTTTACATATATATAAAAAGATATATATTTTTGATTTTATTTAATTTGAGAATTAATTGCCGTTAATTGTGAGTAAAATAAAACCTTGCCTTTATTTGGATAACTAATACAGCCAAGGTTCTTTCATTGCAAGAACAAATGTTAAAATTAAGCAAATGAAGCAATTACATGCAAAGCCCGACTCTCACAAGTTGACACTGAGCTGGACAGTAACAGGAAAATGAAATCAGTTTCACAGATAATAAAAGAAAACTTCTAGACAGTGAGGCCTCTCTGTTTTATTTCCTTTCCATATAAATTAGTGCTTCTTTCTAATATATAAGAATATTCTGCATATTTGTGCATGTGTATGCTTAAAAGAGTGAATATAGATGCTCAGAGACAAGACAGAACTGTGACTTGACTAGCAAATGTTAATGTCATTTGAAGCTAGGTGTAACTTTTGAGACTATTTAGCTCAATCCGCTCATTTTATACTTATGGTGTTTTTATATTGAAGTTAAATATAAACATGTTCAAATCTGCACAAAAGCAGATTATAAGAAATGTAACCCCTCAGACATTACAGTCACCTATTGATAAGCAAGGCAGATTCACTCACATGGAAAGAATTATCTATTACCAACAAATGATAATCACATTGACACAAATGCAAACATTTATAAATAACAGTCTGGAAACAATAACTCATTATTTCTGAACATTTCAAGATCCACTTCACACAAAAACAACATATTCATTCATTGCTAGAGGAAATTTCAATTTATTGAATGATGTCTTTATAATTTGGAACTATAGATTTTAAAGCTAATCATTACAGTAGAAGCAGAGTCTGGGTTGTATGTTGTGATGATATTTGTAAAAGTACTGAGCATTCTAGAATCATTTTTCTCTACTTACACTCATTTCAGTGTGTATGTTTTCTGAAACATGAATAAATAGGATGACAAAAGATCCAGTGTTGCAGATAGAGATACGATATAGAAAGGTGATTCAGTCACTAAACTAACGTGTTTTATAAGTTTTTGCAGTTGCTGATGATACAAATTATATGTGCCCATTAGAAATTGTTTGGAAATAATGAAAAATGGGAATAAGAGAATGCCATTAATTGAAAATTTATCAGTCAGGAAAACAGTACAAATGCAATCTTTTGGCAAGTTTGTTTATTCACACTAGATATCTGTCTCAGCTGTCTCCCAATACATACAAGCACATGCATATGTAATCACAGTTGCATGTTTTATTGTGCGTTCTGGATCTATCACTTACATGCCCTGTGAACTTGAGCAAGTTACTTAACTTCTCCGTACTTTAGTTTCATTGTTTTTAAAATGATGATAACCATGTTATAGAATTATAGGGATTCAATGAGGTAATGAACAGCAAGCTTTAGAAGACTGTCTGCATAGTATATGTTCATTATTGTTGTTATGATCACGTTTTAAAAATATTTTAAATGGTCAACGCCTTCTCATTTTTACTTGAAAGATTACTCATTGCTGGTATCTTGTATTATTTTCAGTAAGTCATAATAAAATCTTTTTTCCCCTGTATGATAATGGTGGTAAATGGAACATCTGAAAAATATGTTCCATGCAAAATGGATCTTCACACAGACTTATTTTGTCATTTTAGTTTGATTTTTGAGAAATGAGTTCAGTGCAACTGCCAAATCCTTTTATAATATGCTGCATTCCTGTTTTTATTTTAGTTTATTTCATTTATAAAAACCTCTTTTCTCCACCCTGCCCCCAGACAGTTACCTCTCCTATCCCCAGTTCCTCCCTGTCTTAAACTAAAATTCTAGCCGTACATTAAATCTTTAAGAGTAAGTCCAAAATGGGAGGAGAATCTGGACAGAATCTGTCACAATTTTTGTAAAGCCATTCTTTCCTTTTTGTTTAGCTGGATTTAAAAAAATGCAAAAAACAAACAAACAAAAAAAAAAAAAACAAAAGCAGAATTCTACCTTACACACTCTGAAAATATACCAATTGATAGAGTGAACATTTGTGTTTGCCAAAATTGGAATAACAGCCTTTTCCTTTTTTCAATGTGGGAAGGAGACAACTGGCTTGGGGAGGGAAAAGATGGAGTTAAGCAGATGAAGAAGAATCGAGTTTGCAAACATATGTTAATATTTAGATTCTTTTTTGAAAAGTGAAAAGTTAACTAGTTAATGCTTTTTTTTTTTTTTTTACAAACTTTGATCCTGTGTTTTGTTTATTCCATCCCAGAAGAAGTTAGCGGTATACAGCAAGATGCAGGATTCTCTGGAAGTCACCCTTCCCAGCAAACAAGAGGAGGAGGAGGAGGAGGATGAGGAGGAGGAGGAGGAGAAAGACCAGCCTGCCGAGATGGAGTACCTTAACTCTCGCTGTGTCCTTTTCACTTATTTCCAGGGAGACATTGGGTCAGTAGTGGATGAACACTTCTCAAGAGCTTTGGGCCAAGCCAGCACCCTCCATCCAGAATCTGCCATTTCAAAAAGCAAGATGGGGCTAACCCCCCTATGGCGAGGTAAGAATTCAAAAGCAGATGCTCTCCAGGGCACTGTGTCTGTTTCGCAACCGCCCGTACCAGGTTCCAGCTGGAGACTTGCCCCTGGAGGACGGATATCCACTTGCTTTTTAATTTTTAAGGACAGCGAGGAATTTCTTTCAGACAAACAGCTGGATCAGTTTTGTCACATGTGGAATGCGGGGTTGGAAAGGATGCAGTCACACCCCTTAAATTCCTCATGGAAAGTAGTGATACAACCGGCCTGAGTTTCTAGTGGCCAGATTGAGCAGCAAAGCACCATTCCGAAAACCCTGATGGCCCACTTTGGATCCCTGAAAAACAGGCGTGCCTGAATCAGCTTCTAACACATTAGCTCTTGCTCATTCCACTAGGTGTAACGTGGTAACATAGCAGGAATCTGAGTCTGACCTAGGAAGACAGACTTTGGAAGCCTCGTCTGTTCTCTTGAAAACCTTCTCTAATCTCTCTTGTTGTGGTGTTAACTCTTGGCAGTGTACAATCTCAACATCGCTGGCTGCATGTATGCTTTAAATTACTGTGTTTACTTCAATAAAGAACAAACTGAAGATTGAGCATCCTCTTCTTTATTTCCTTCTATGTGAAGGTCACAGATACGTGTTTGAATCTGATTTCTGCCTCACAGAAGACGATTGAGTGACATGTTAATCAGGGATAATTACAATGCTAGAGAATAAATAATCCCTCATTCCAATGACAGCTTCAGAATAAGGCATCACAGATGTTTCTTCCCCTCCCTTTGCTATAAGCAATAACCAGTAAAATGGTTCTCAAAGTGTTTTCCTTCTCAGGAACATCAGCATCACATGGGAGCTTGTAGAAATGCGAGTTCTTGGGCTTCTCTCTGGACCTTCCAAATTAGAAATTGCAGAGTGGGATAATCTGTTTTTTACTAATTCTCCCAGTGGTTCAGATGCAGATGCAAGTTCAGTAACAATTGATTAGTGCTGTTAAAAATATATTCGAGGTCTCCTTACTTCAAATGTATTGAACTGGATTCTGCAGAGGAAGGGTCAGGGAATCTTCCCTTAACAAGTGCCTGTGGTGAATCCTATGCTGGGGACAGGTTGGTCACCTGAGCAAGGGCAGTTGAGTCGAGATTAACTGTCTCCTCCCAACAGGAGAAGAGTGGCTCTGCTCCATTGTAGGAGGGGTCCTGGCCATACGGAATTGCTGAGCCTGATCTGTAGACACAATACTTCCTTTCCTTCTCTCCTTTCTTGTTTCTTTTGCTTGCTCTCTGCTTCTGTCCCTCATCTCCCTCCCACTTCCTTCCTTCTCTCCCTCTCTTCCTCTATTCTTTCTGTTCCTTCTTTCTTTTCTTTCTATTAAATATCAGCACTAAGGTGACTATACAAGGGAATGTGAGATACAAACTGAAATGACTAAAGCCTTGATGGAAATGAATAGGCAAACATGGTGCTTATTAGATTAATGAAGATTATGAACCGAGACTTAGTTCTTGGAAGCTTAAGATGTATACACAACCAATTTCCTATTTCATTCATGGTTTGTGGAAAATAAAATTGGAAAGCTTCAGTGAGTTACATTGTTTTAATAAGCAATTTGATATATTAATAATAAGCCCATTCAGGATAATCAGTCTCAGGAGAGTAATATTGCAGTGTCTACTTCTTGTAACCTATTGGCACATGCAATCTCGTGGTCATTCAAGCTGTAATACAGAAACTAGAGCCTGGAATTATACTTTGGAGTGAGACTTGTTACCTACCCTGGTACCATAACCCTCTAGAGAAATTTTAAGTGGGATGCCATGTAGGTGTACTCTACAAAGTGGGATTATTTCTTAGAAATATTAGAAAAGACCTTTGAATGTACATTGAATTTCAGTGTGGAAAGAATGAATAATGGTTATTATTTGGTAACTGTAGTTAGAACTTTCTTGATATCCTCTTAAATTTGGTTTGAGATTTACCTCCTGTTTCATTCATTGGCTTATGCAGCAAATATTTATTGAGCTCCAGTGACTGGGACAGCCCAAGGCATTATAGTCATGGAGCTAGTGCTTTAGTATTAGAGGTAAGGTGTAGACCAAGATCTAATGATAAGCAAAGTGTTATTTTACTTACGGTGATAGTAAAATCCCTCTCTGAGACAGTTACATTTGAGCAGAGTCCTGAAGGAGATTAGCACACTCATCATGGCAAACGTCTAGGGAAACATAACTCTGCAGAGAGAGAACAGCCAGTGCAAAGTCTCTGAAGATGAATGGAGCTTAGTGCTCATTCAGAAGCAGAATGTTGGTGTGAGTAGAGTGAAGTGGAAAGTGATAGGTGCAGAACAGACGTTTTAGAGATTTTTATGTCTGTCAGAGAATCCCAACAGAACACAGCAGGCTCTTCAATTTCCATGTCTTCCTCCTTCATTAAGTCTATGAACATTGTATCTAGTTATTTCACATGATTTTCTTTTATGCTCAAGATAACACATTTCTTTATGGACAATTGAAAATCAATGTAAGTTGAATGATTAAGTGACTAAATTAAATTACCAAGTTTATACCATGTACCTGGAATTAGAAAGCATAAAAATCTCTAATAGAGAATTTATTAATAACTCATATGAGATCTTTAGGTATAAGTTTCTTTTTTTTTATTTTTATTTTTTTTTATTTTTGACAGGCAGAGTGGACAGTGAGAGAGAGAGACAGAGAGAAAGGTCTTCCTTTGCCGTTGGTTCACCCTCCAATGGCCGCCGCTGCAGCCGGCGCACCGCGCTGATCCGATGGCAGGAGCCAGGAGCCAGGTGCTTTTCCTGGTCTCCCATGGGGTGCAGGGCCCAAGCACCTGGGCCATCCTCCACTGCACTCCCTGGCCATAGCAGAGAGCTGGCCTGGAAGAGGGGCAACCGGGACAGAATCCGGCGCCCCAACCGGGACTAGAACCCGGTGTGCCGGCGCCGCAAGGTGGAGGATTAGCCTATTGAGCCACGGCGCCGGCTAGGTATAAGTTTCTTATTGATAAAATAAGAGGCTGAATGAAGTAGTTGTTGAAATCTTTGAATTTTTGTGACTTCAAAGTACTATTTACTTGTCATTTGCAAAAATAGTAGTAGTTGTTTCTAGTAGTCAATTAATTTTAAATTAAAATTTCAAATTTGGATAGGTTTCAGAGGGAGCCACAAAATATAATAAAAGCATTAAAATGTCTCAATAAAGTATAATAAAATGAGGTTCACATGTCTCATGAAGAAAGTTGGTGAGAATTTAATATTAATTGTCAAAGCTACACAGCATTGAAAACGCAATTTTTGGAGTCCTTTCATTTTGGATTCAAGTCTGAGACTTATTCTTTTCTTGTTGCAACCAATTTCTCTATGATCAACTTTCTTAACTGTAATGTATGTTTAGTGATACCCATGTGCTACAGTTATTGTAAAGTTTTTTGAGAATGTACATGAATAATCCAGAGCAGGGTTTGAATCAAGGTGCTGTATGAAAGTCAGATGCCTTTTCTCTTCCACAAGTAAATTTCCACTCATTTGGCACATAGAAAATCCGCTTGAATCTCTATCCAAAACTCTGTGTTTTTGGCACAAAACCACAGTCATATATATAAAAGTGCTAAAGGTTATTGATAACACTAATGGTAGTGGCAATGATACTTTATAAAGAAGCTGCTGGCCAGCTATATCAATGAATCTGGTTTATATTGTGAAATTATTGCAGTGTTGCAGGAAAAGCTACAGTGTTACAAACAAATTTAAAATGAAATTATGCTTCATTGCAGAATGTATTTATATATAAATCTTCAGACAGAAGTGTCTCACCTAATAATGAAAAAAATGATCATATTTTGAATGAGTGCCTTCTTGATGGAGCCAGAAAAGTTCTCCTCAGTTTTTTTTTTTTTTTTTCCCAGCTGTTAGGCGAACAATTAATGACAGGAAATAGTTTGTACTTTATTTGGTATGAGATATCTTCGGTTACCACTAATCCTGCTGTATATTCTAACAGGAATTTAATAGAGCTTTTTACTAAGGAAAACCTAACAAATCTGATCATCAACTTATTCCTATCCAAATAGAAACATCAGCTGCAAATGTGTCTGTGCATTGATTTTTATAGAAAATGTCAGTGTGTGGATATCCTGGAAAGAATAGTAGCACAGTCAAGCCACAGTGATATAGATAACTGACATTTTTAAAAACTGTGTTAAATGGCAGACTTACAGATATGTTTTTTGTTGTGTTTGCAAAGCAAGCTGTCTGTTGAAAGATTGCTCTACAAAGGATCTGCTTTGGACAATTCGTTCTCATAGGAGATGCCTCTAAAAATCAGCACTGAACTTAGCACCAAGGAGGAAATGGAAGGAGGGCCTGTCCAATGAGCTCACTGAGAGTAGGAATGAGGGAGTTGAGCAGTCTCTCCAGGAGGTGCTGGAGGTTATCACTTTTGGGAAGTTTAGGACAAACACGTGGGTGGACAGTGAGGCTTGACTTACGTCACCCTACTGCCTCCAAGGAGTATGGGCCTCTGACATCACCCTTTGAAAGTCTCCGTGTAGAGTCATGAGGCTCATTTTGAGCAACTCTGGAACAAAATAACTAGAGGGCAATCTTTGTACGTAATGGTAACGCGTAATTCCTAAGTGACAGAAAACGCTGGAACAAGCATCAGTTTATCTCTGAATTCAACAATTTCTTTTAATGGGAAGCAGAACAACAGAATGGGATTTAAAATACAGCAGGAACCTTTAAGTTAAGAATGGAGTGGACCTTTTGGTTAAAAATGGGACTGATAAGCAGGTAAATGTTATCTCTTAACACTGATGTTTTAGTCGGTAATCCAAGAATGTGTTTCCTGGAGATATTTAAGGTGAATTAGTATAGGAGTCTGACAATATTTCATTGTCTCATTTTTGCTTTTAATATAGCATCCATATTTTCAAAATTGTGATAAAATCTTTCTTTAAATTTTGACTTTTTATTCATTTACCTCTTTTCCATTTTTTTCAAAGAAAGTTAGTGTAGAAAATATTCCAGCTATTACAAAATGGAAAGAAATCATGCTCCATGTTAAACTTTTCCATGATTCTAAGACATATTTTTGCTTTGAATGAGATAGTGAGATTACTGGGTGAGTTTTGGGTAGATTGTGTTGAACAAAATAAAAATTTTGTCATTTTCTTCTTTGTTTAGAAGAAAACACATGTGTGCACAATATTTTTAGCCCCAAATGTAAACTGAACCACATTATATTTAGGCTACTTGCATGTGTTAGATTATCAATATTAACATCATGCAAATAGTGGTTAATGTCATCCAAATATCGAGAAATATTAAATCCAAAGTCACTGTGGACTGTTAATCTTACACTGCTGCATTGCTTACACTAACTTTAAAAGTAATATTGCATAGAAATAGCTCATGCAGTTTTTCATTTGCTTTTTCATCCAACAAATGTGGCTGTGATTAAGTACTCATAAGCAAAGAGTCATGTAATGAAAAAAATTTACATACATATGAAATAAGCACACTGATTCTCAGGCATGAAATAGAGCATATCATCTGTTTCTGAGTATCAAGTTTTTTTTTCTTTACACAACCAAGATACCAACAGTGATTCTGAAGTATAGATTTCTTCATAAACATATTTTCTATTCAATATTGTTTCACTTACTTGTAAAATGCAGCAATATTTTTGAAAAGAAATGCATAGATCCCTGTAAACTTTATATTAATCTCAAGAGACATATCAACTGAGGAAATATTAACTTGGTTCTAATTTTGTTTTTCCCTGGGGCATTTTAAGGCTTTGTTCAGTTTTTATGGAGTGCATTTTAAAAAAATAGATTTCTACTTTCAATGGTAATGTGTTCACTAATCACAATATAATACTTCGTAAATAGGATATAATATGTTTGGTAAGGAATGTGTTCATTATTCACATTTGCGTGTGCATCTCCAAAATGCTTAAAATCTATAAAGTAAGATTGTTTCCATGTACATATAAATGAGAAGAAATGAAAGCATCAGGAGAACTGGTATACACTCTGTACTTTTGACACGGGAGAGGATTTTAAAAAGGGGAATGTTGTATCTCTGGAATATACTTGTGTGTTGGGGTTCAGCAGTTTTCATTATGGGATTCTGACCCCAGAAGCGAGGGAAGTTAAGCAAACTGAAGGATTCCACTCCAGCGATGGGAGCTGTGAGAGCAAAGTGGTGGCAGAGCTGCTCTGTGTAATTTAAGGAGCCTTTATAAACTCATTGTGTGGGTTTTAAGCTTTAAACATTGACAGCTTTCATTGTGAATGTGACAGAAATATTCTACAAATGACCATTACTTAAAGCAAATTGGATTTTGTTCTCACAATTTATACAATTTTCCTTCTTCTTGTTAGCAGCATTTTTCATGTGTCAAATGGAGACAATTGTTAAATAAAATGTATTTACCTCAGTGCCAGTGAGTTTAATTCCAAGCATTATTTTTTTTTTGATAAATTGTGATTGTGACAAAACAGTCATTTACTGAAAAGTTTGCTGGAAATGTTTGAAGACTTGGAGAGTATGTACTTCCATTCTTTGCCTGTTGAAGGACATCAAATCCTTGGCTTCCTCGAGGGGTTCTGAGACCCATGGAGACAATGTGAGGGAGAGACTTTGAAACTGTGAACAGCTGTTTGTCCATAGGATGGGTGGGCTGACTGATGAGAGCTCTGGTGTCAGGCTGAAGGGGAGAGGAAGGAAGAACTTCACTGCTGGTGGCACCACCTTCAGGGAAGCTAGAGAGAAAGAGAAGGTTGGAACAGCACAGTGAGAACCTAAAATTGTGTTGCCCAATGATGTGTGTGCTGCTTGATCCAAATCATTTAAGCTTTTCTTGAAGCAAGAAAACATGTCTTGGAAATTTGTGTAGTAAGAGCATAGACATGAGGTGTTTGGATACTTCTAATTCAAAGTAGTTTATGTCTTTCATTGAACAGAGTGCTTACACGATTCTTTTAGGTGGAACCCGGTGTGAAAATAGTCTTACTACATGTATGACTAATGTCTTTAAGCCACCTATCTTTATCTATAGATAGAAATAAACCATAGGACACTTAACAGGATGATAGTATATTGAACCAGAAGATAATTTGAATTAAGTTAATTCACAAGCCTCATTTTTTTTTTTAGTGAAAAAAAAAAAAGCCACAAAAGTATCAGTGAGTCCATTTGAGGCCATAAAGTGAGATAGGATAAGAAGCGGTATCAATGCTGAGCCCCTAGATGTGCAATCCACTCATTCAGGTACATGACACCATACACAACAATCTTTAGGTGGACACACTGATGTTTGTAAACACAGATCTGCTCTTTCTACATAGAGAATAAAGCCTCTCAAAGCCCAGTGGGACCGCTTCCAGATAGAATCTGCAATCACTTTCATGTCCAGCAAATCCATACCCATCTGGGTCCTTATTATTTCGATAGCCTTATGTATTTATTTTTCCACCTTCTACCTAATGAACCCTTTTTTTTTTTTTCCAAATGCTTCTGCTGCTGTGTATCTGTGTGTGCGTGCCATTTACACATGCTGTTCCCTTTGCTTGCAGCTGTCTTCCCTGTCTTTCCACAGGGCTAGCTCAGCCTTTCAGCTTCTATATAGTTATCACTGTCTTAGGTTGGTTTAGTGCTGTCTGCGTGCTCCCTCTTGTGAGAACACCTCCAGCATGAGACTGCAGATGTCTGTCTACTTCTCTGTCCCCCTGCAGACCATGACATCTCTGTGGCCATCCCTGGTGCCTCCATATTTGGTAGTCAATCATTTGTAAGCATGCTATAATGATTGATTAGAGAAACTGAATGGATTCTGAGTGACTGAAGAGTTCTCCCTCTTCAAACCTTTTTTTTTTATCACAAAGGGCTATTCTTTGGTATTTTCTTCTTCCCTAACCACCTCCTCAAACCCATTACTTCTACTTGAACCTACTCCACTCCTGCCTTGCACAGAATCATCATCAAATTCCAGATGATCAGGTTACCCTTGCAATTGTGCCCCCTTGTGGCATGCTACGAAGAGTACCACAGGTGTTCAGGCAGGCTACCTGGCTTCAAAGCCTGGTGTCACACTTGTAAATGTTAGTCTTAGACATTTTCTCTGCCTTCATTTGTTCATCTCTAAAATGGGGATAACTATGTCTTCAGGCTGGAGAGAAGATCCTGGGAAGTCATCCTTGGAAAACCCTTGACCTAGTGTTGGGCATTTGATTATTGTCATGAAATGTGAACCATTTATTATTTTCAGGCACACACTCATATCTCTACAAAAGAGCTCAGAATGTACTGTTCTTAATGGAAAATGAATGTTTGTGAGCATAATAAAGTGTGATCCTATACTTATAGTTGTTACTCCTGGCATTAACATTTTTTTTGTCTACATGGAAATTTATTTTATTTAAAAGAAGTTGTTTTAAAAAAAATCACTTCAAACCTCCATAAGTTTCCTCTCTGGTATGAGCTTTCTTTCCCAGGGGAGTGCATAGGTAAGACCTCTGCTTGCACTTACTGGCAACAACTCACCAGGAAAGGAAGCTTTTCCATCCTTACACTGCAAACCTCAGCACCAACTGGTACAGCATAAACCAAGCAAACATTGTGAATTCTGTGCACTGACTCGGCCTGGGAGCTCAGAGGCTAACCTGCTATCAGTTCATCACTGTGTGGGGAGAAAGAGCGCATGCTAATTCATTTGCTTGTAAAATATTACTGGACAAGCTAAGGCAAGTCTGCTCCAGAATGGAATCTTACGTGAATAATATGTTCTTTTTGTGTCTTCTCAGACAGCTCAGCTCTCTCTAGCCAACGGAGTAGTTTCCCAACTTCTTTTTGGACCAGCTCTTACCAGCCCCCACCTGCACCCTGTTTGGGGGGAGTTCATCCTGACTTCCAGGTCACTGCACCCCCTGGCACCTTTACAGCAGCAGACCCCAGCCCCTGGCCGGGACACGGGCTGCATCAGACTGGCCCAGCCCCTCCCCCTCCCGTGTCTGAGTCCTGGCACTATCCTTTGGCATCTCAGGTGAGCCCATCCTACAGCCACATGCATGATGTGTACATGCGGCACCACCACCCCCATGCCCACATGCACCACCGCCACCACCATCACCACCACCACCACCCTGCTGCTGGCTCTGCCCTGGATCCATCGTATGGGCCCCTGCTGATGCCATCAGTGCGTGCAGCCAGGATTCCTGCTCCCCAGTGTGACATCACAAAGACAGATCCGACTACAGTCACCACTGCTACCTCAGCGTGGGCCGGAGCCTTTCATGGAACGGTGGACATAGTGCCAAGTGTGGGATTTGATACAGGTGAGCTAGTGGTTTCCTCTTTCCGTAAAAAGAAGAAAAGTGAAGCAATGTTTTTAAACAATGGTCGCTTACTGTTAGAAATATTTCTTTTTGGATATATTAAGTTTAGCTTTGTCAGTATGTCTGTGGAACTGGACCATTTTGCAATATTTCCTGCATTCCTGTAGAACTGTTATGATTAACTCATGAAGCATAGCTATGATTTTAGGCTGGTCATCTGCTTTGAGCCTGAATTTGTGGTACTTAATGTTTACAAAGAACTGAGTGTATTTAAATTTTTACTCTGTCTGTACTCCATATCACATGTAATACCTACCAGAATTCAAATATAGTAGGCTATCCTTTTGTGTTAGGCCTTGTTTATGATTTATACAACTGCTTTTTGGAATACAATCTATAGTCCTGTCATTTGAAAAAGATAGAACTTTTTTTATTAAGATTTTTATTTTTATTATTTATTTGAAAGCCAGAGTTACCATAGAGAGGAAGAGAGAGAGAGAGAGAGAGAGAGAGAGAGAAACTTCCATCCACTGGTTCACTCTCCAGAAGGCTGCAATGGCGAGGACTAGGCCAGACCAAAGCCAGGAACCAGGGGTATTATCCGGGTCTTCCACTTGGGTGGCAGGGACCCAGATATCCAGGCTATCCTCTGCTGCTTTCCCAAGCCAGGGAGCTGGATTGGAAGTGGAGCAGCCAGGATATGAACCGGCACCCATATGGGATGCCAGCTTCACAACATGAAGTTGCCACTACACTGGCCCCCAGGACATATTTTTAAACAACAGAGGTCCCTTCTCTCGCCTTCCTTTCCCTTCTTTTGTCTTCCTTTCTTATTCTTCATTTTCTTCTTCTCCTTTCTGTCCTCTTCCTCCTTCTCCTTGTCTCTCTCTCTCTCTCTCTTTGCCTACTTCTCTCTCTCTGGCTCCTTTCTCTCTGATTTAACTAACACAAGACGTAGAACACTACTATAAAAATCTATATTCAACAAATTTAGAAAAAAAGAGTAAAAAAAGTATTGTTTTTCCCCTTGACCTTCATCTCCTCTCTGGAATTGACTAATTCTGGAGCTTATCCTGCTAAAGATTTGAACTTGGTTTCTGAATCAGTCCAGTTCCACGTATTGAATTAATTGTTATGAATTCATGAAATCACAGGCACCAGAGGCTAAAAAGATGTCAGTGATTACATTCTAAGGTCACTCATGTCTACCTCCAAATCCAAGTTCTTTGCTGCAACATTCTGTGACACACTAGTACTTACTTTCCAAGAATGTAAGGCGATTCTTTCCTTTATTAATGTTTCTGTAGTGTAGAGGATCTTTAATCTGATTGTGGGTTTTTAACAGAGAACTCCTCTGAGTAATAAATGATCAGTGTCGCATTGTTTCTAGGTTAATTGTTCTCTACTCACATCGCCTCTAGGCTAATTGTCTGGTCCCATCTGTTTCAGCTTCCTACTGAGTGTCTAGATTCAAGTTGCTTTTCTTTTACTTTTTTTTAAAGATTTTTTTTTTTAATATTTACTTATTTATTTGAAAGACAAGGTTATAGAGACACAGGAAAGGAGAGACAGAGAGAAAGATCTTCCATCTACTGGTTCACCCCCCAAAAGGCCACAATGGTCAAAGCTGGACCAATCAGAAGCCAGGAGTGGGGACCTCCAACTAGGTCTCCCACGTGGTTGGCAGGGATCCAACCACTTGAGCTATCTTCTGCTGCTTTCCCAGGTACATTAACAGGAAGCTGGATGGGAAGTGAAGCATCTGGGACTGGAACTGGTGTTCAAATAGGATAGAAGCCTTGCAGGTGGTGGCTTAACCCTCTGAGAAACTGACCCAAGTTGACTTTCTACACAAAGTATTGCGGGCCTTGGTTTACCCTCCCTAGGAGAAGAGTGAGTGATGGGGCTAGCCACCGCAGGCGTCTCTTCTTCCTTTACCATATGTTGACTGAATGCAGGCAACTCTTGAGTTGTTTGACACCATGTCTTACTGGAGTCCCAATTTAGTAGCTGCCTTCACAGATAGCCAGTCTCTGGGTGTTCCATTTTAACTCACGTCTGCCATACCTGTGTGGCCAAAGTACCAATGCTGTTGCCGCACAAAAGGCATAATCTCTCTGTTCATCTTATCAACAAAGCAGGAAAGGGGCATGATTTCTTGTTGCTGTTTTCTAATTCTCTATAACTTTTTGCTAACTTTTATATTGTTAGCTTTGGTGTGAGTCAAATTCACAGATTTATTGCTCAAAATCTGGGGTTGAAATAATCTAATCAAGATGAAGTGTTAACCTTCCAACCTTTTGCAAGTGAATGAGTAGGGTTTTTCTTTAAAAAGTCTTTAGAGAACCATTTAGATATATCATTTAAAAACTCTTGATAATTAATGAGTTACAGAAGGTTTATTGAGCACCCACTATGTAAACCATTAGCTAAAGTATGCCATATAAAGATACTTCAGGGGCTAGTGTTGTGGTGCAGCAGATTAAGCCTCTGCCTATGACACTGCATCCCAATTCTGAGTGCTGGTTCAGATTCTGGGTGGTCCGCTTCCAATCCAACTTACTGATAATGCACCTTGGAAAGAAGTGGTCAAAGTACTTGGGTCCCTGCTGTCCATATGGGAAACCTGGATGGAGTTCCTTGCTGCTGGCTTCAAAGTGATACAGACCAGACTGTAGGATACCTTTGAGGGGTAAACCTGTGAATGGAAGATCTCACTCTCTCTCTCTTATTTATATTTCTCTCCCTTTTATTTCTCTCTCTGTCACTCTGCCTTCAAAATAAATAAATAAGTAAGAAAATCTTTTAAAAAACAAAGATACTTCAAAAGTTTGTAGAGAAATAGAAACAAATGATTATTTTGGTGCAAAAAATTTTGAAGTCCATGCAGAAGTTATTTTCCTAACATGCCTTTTCTGTGAATTTTTAAAGATGCCCTCAGACATATATGTACCTATATTATTTATCTTTATTTTTTAAATTAAATATGAAATTGGCTTTTTAGATTTATTTATCAATGATACAGAGACTCAGGACACCTGCTTGCCTACCTAGCAATACTGTGTCCAAGCTGAGGTTTGAACTAAGAGTTGTCACTCTCTATGAGGTTGCACAGGTAGCATCTTCATGTCTATATAGATGAATTAAATTGGTGAATGATTTACTAATGAAGATTTCCCTATTGGAGATACAGTACTCCTTGTCAGTGTGAGCTTAGGACAATGATCACAATTCATGCCATCAAACAGATAAAGATAAAGTTATCACTATAATTATTGATCACCATAATTATTGGGGAATTTAGATTAAGTTTATTGTCACAATTTAATGCCCTGGTGTTCTGCTAATTTGGTTCTGGGAGATCCAATTTTAGGGAAAAGCTGGCCTTTAGAGAAGATTCCTATGGACATCTTTCTTCTCTCACAGTTTAGAGTCTCCATACTGGGGAAAGAGATTAATGCTGACTTAAGATTCCTCTGAGATGAGTAATATGAAGCCATCCTGGTAGATTTACCCCCACAAAGGCCAGAAGCAGGAAGGGAATGCTCCTTGTTGCATGTGCACTGCCCAAAACTAGAGTGGAAGGAACTGAGGTGTATGTGGTCATTTTCCTAAACTTAGGCACAATGTCAACTATTACATCTCTCTCCCTTTATGAGGAATAAGCATTTTATATTCTTTCATTAGTTGATGAACATTTGGTTCACTGTTTTATAAGCAATATGACTAAAACTTTTGTGATCACTCATGTGCAAGTTCTATTAGGTATATATGTAGGAGTAGAATTAGCGTATTAAAAGAGTCTCATTTCTTATTTTATAAGACTCTGTTCCTGAAACATTTTCAACAAACAATTTACTATATCCGTCATTATTTTAATTCTAAATAATTTAATCACAATTTTTAAGTGCTTCAAATTTATAAAATTACCACCTATCATTATTTTTTATGTGAATGTAGTGAGATCATCCATCTTTTCTGAAGTACTGAGCTTCAGTAAGGACAGTGAGTTTAACAGGCGTAATGTAAAAGGGGTCCTCACTGTAAGCAGTGTGCAGGTGCATTCCCTCTTAGGTTTTGGCACCAGGTTGTGTATGCCCTTTACCCTGACCTGCTGATACTTATCCCTCATGCCTGGCTTACTCACTTAGGGCTCCCTGTGCTGATCAAGAATTACATACACACAGGTGCCTTGGAATGGTCAATGGGTTGATATTATTGTAAGTTATGTGCAGCTCCTCTTCATATCAAAATGCTCATCCTTACCAGGAAGCTGGTATCACAAATCTTTTTTGTTTTTTAAAGATTTTATTTAGTGAATGCATATTTCACAGGTACAACTTTAGGAATACAGATCTCATATTAGTATTTTTCCCTTTTCTTTTGTAATTTGAGGTATGAGGGTTTGTGGGTTCAATAGAAACAGTAATTCTAAAATGTGATAATAGGGACTTCACTGAAATAAAGATCTATGGGCAAATAAGCTTGTTGACATTGCCGCTACATATTTCTTTTAGAGATCACGATTCACTTTAGTATATACAAGGCTTTTATACACTCTTCAATAAAGGAAGACTAAATATCTTTAAAAGACTTTTCCATTCTGATTTTCGTATGAGCACATTTTACTTTTAGCATACTTTCTAACTTTTCGTGGAATGTCCTTTGGCTCACTTAAGACAAGATTTTTCCCCATAATAAAATATCTGGTTTTCAGTTATTTATGAATAACTTTCACCTTACATTCAGTTGCTTTGAAGAGGTACAGGTAAAGAAGGGTGGGTGGAGTCTGAAAGAACCACTAGAACAGAAGGATGAAGAAGGGGAGGAAGATCACAGGATGCAAAGAAGTAGCTTCAGCAACCTCAGAGTATTATTTTGGGCCCTTTTGCATGTCAAGAAGGGGAGAGTGAAGTACAGAAAAGTTTGTGATGTATAGAATAAATATCAGACATGCATATGTAAATGCAAGAGTATACCTCCTCTTTCTCATTTTTGAG